AAAGGAAAGCCAATAGCTGGCTATCCTTGACAGCACACATTTACACTGACAATCAGGGCACTGACCATCAATTTAGCACCATCAGTGCCAATCAGTGCCCATTAGTGCAGCTTATCAGTGCGCATCAGTGTCACCCATCAGTGCAACCTTATTAGTGCCCATCAGTGCCACCTCACCAGTGCAATCCCATCAATGCACATCAGTGCATCCTCATCAGTGCCCATCAGTGCTGCCTTATCAGTGCCACCTCACAAGTACAGCCTCAGCAGTGCCCATTAGTGCAGCCAATCAGTGGCCATCAGTGCAGCCAATCAGTGGCCATCAGTGCAGCCCCATCAGCACATATCAGTGAAGAAGAGACATTACTTATTTGCAAAAGTTTATAACAGAAACTAGGAAAAACATTTTTTATTTCTTTAAAATTTTTCGGCCTTTTTTCATTTGTTTAGCAAAAATTCAAAAACCCCATGGTGATTAAATACCACCAAAAGAAAAGTCTGTCTGTCTCAAAACATTATACAAATTTCATATGGGTACAGTGTTGCATGACCGCACAATTGTCATTCATAGTGCGACAGCACTGAAAGCAGAAAATGTACCTGGGCAGGAAGGGGGAGAAAGTGCCTGGTATTGAATTGGTTAATTATTATATTATTACTATATTATTATTATTATTTAATTATTGATTAATACTGTAACTGGACTTTCGACCTTGCTTTTTGTAAAGCACTGCACAAATTATTAGCACTATATAAATCCTGTATTATAATGATAATAACAATATATCATTTGACATTTTGACCATAGATACACTTACATTTTAACCACTTGCCCTCCAGAGGATTTACCCCCCCCTTCCATTTTTTGTGATACTGCGCTGTGTTAGTTTAACTGACAATTGTGCAGTCATACAACGCTGTACATAAAACAAAATTTATGCCCTGTGTCCTTTTCCCATAAATAGAGCTTTCTTTTGGTGGTATTTGATCGCCTGTGCATTTTTAATTTTTTTTGTGCTATAAACAAAAAAAAAATACGACAATTTGGAAAAGAAAACAATATTGTTGACTTTTTACTATAAAACATATCCAATAAAAATTTTTAAAAAATCAAATTTCGTCATACATTTATGCCAAAATGTATTCTGCTACGTCTTTGCTAAAAAAAATCCTAATACGTGTAAAATAATTGGTTTACATGAAAGTTGTAGCAACTATAAATGGTGATATATATACTGGGATTTTTTATTTTTATACTAGTAATGGTGGCGATCAGCGACTTATTAACGGGACTGTAGGACTGTGGCAGGCATTCTGACACTGGGGGGGGGGAGACTAACGGCCACTGACATCCCCAGTGACACTAATACAGTGATCAGTGCTAATAAAAAGCACTGACACTGTACTAATGACACTGGGCAGGAAGGGGTTAACATTTGGGCGATCAAAGGGTTAATTATGTGCTGTGTTCTGTTTTACATAATGTGCTATGTGTGTGTTTTACTAGGGAGACATACTGCTTTGTATTTCTTTGCTGTGCAGAGCAATACAAAGCAGCATGCCTTTGCCGACAGGAGAGAGACCTGTGTTGTATACACACAGCTCTCTCCCCTGTTGGCTTCCCCCAACAATCGCCGGGTGCCAGCGGGACTCTCTCCGGCTGGTACCCAGTGATTGACAGCCCTAGCCGCCAATGGCGGAGCGGGAAGGGCGCGCGCTCCCTACCCGGAAATGCAGAATCACACACACATATATATTGTGACAGGATGAACGGCGAGGTGATAGAGGGACGCTATGTGTCACCTCGCATATGCTCATACCTGACCGTTTAGGTGGAGTCCACTCCGGGTTTTCGGGGCCACAGTTAAGCAGGTGGGTCCGGACCAGAGTTTGGGCTCCACTGATGACCACCAACAGGTGGTATAAATAAGGCAGGGCTGGAGCAAGGAGTTGCTCGTGGCCTGGGACTCAGAGAGGTGTTCTGAGAGAGCTGTGTGTATGGACTATACCTGCAAGAAAAGGTTTGCTGTTACTTTGTTTTGGTGACAGGGAGAAGCCCTTCACCTCTGAGAGAGGAATCATCTGCTGTTTAGTTAGTGCCTGGATGGCAAGGGTTTATTTTGATGTTTTGTTTATTTTGATATTTCTTGCAAACCTTTTTAATAAAACTGACATCCAGTCAGATTTTGACGAAAGCCTGCTGTGCGGTCTACCTTTGTCGCAGGGAAGGAGATCCCCCACCTGAGCTAACCCCACATATGGTGGAGGATGCGGGCACTTCCTGAGCAAGTGGGAAGATGGAGGAAATAATAAGAGCCTTGCTGCAGACCAATGCAGCACAACGGGAGACAAATCGCCAGTTTGCGGAGGCCCAAGAAGCAGACCGAGAGCTCCTTAAGCAGGTGGCCCAACACCTATTAGAATTAAAGAAGGAATCTGCAGATCCACTGCCAGTGGAGCAGAAAATGGTGCGGGCCAGCTATGTTTTGCAGAAGATGACACCTGCGGATGATGTGGAGGCCTATCTCACAACTTTTGAAAGGGTTGCTGTTCGGGAAGGATGGAAAAAGGAGCAATGGGCAGGACTGCTTGCACCATTTTTGACAGGTGAATCCCAAAAAGCCTATTATGACCTAGAACCAGGGGATGCCCAGGACTATGAGAAACTGAAGGCTGAGGTCCTTGCACGCCTGGGTGTCACCATTGCAGTCCGGGCTCAGCGGGTGCATCAGTGGCATTTTAGGGCTGACAAACCACCCAGATCTCAGATGTTCGATTTGATACATCTCTCCAAAAAGTGGCTCCAGCCAGAGGTATTGTCAGGCCCTCAGATTGTGGAGCGTGTGGTCATGGACCAATATTTGCATGCACTCCCTGCCACTTTGAGGAAGTGGGTCGGCCGTGGAGACCCTAAATCTGCAAACGAGCTGGTGGACCTGGTGGAGAGATATGCAGCCGCTGAGGACTTTCTTCATTCACCTGGGCCGTACCCCAAGGTCACTATGGGTGGAAAACTATCCGGAGGATCCGGTAAGACTGTTCCATGGGCCAAAGGCTCAGAAAAAAATGAAAAGGCTATTGGCAGATTCCTTTAACGGAAGCTGCAAAAGAAAAGACGGCATTCTCCACCCCCGAGGGGTCCTTTCAGTATAAGCGGATGCCGTTTGGTTTGCATGGGGCTCCTGCATCATTCCAAAGGATGATGGACAAGACGTTGAGACCACATCGCCAATATGCAGCTGCCTATTTGGACGATGTCGTCATCCACAGTCCAGACTGGGAATCTCATTTGTCCCGCTTGCAAGCGGTCGTAGATTCGCTGCGGGAAGCAGGTCTTACCGCCAACCCCAGAAAGTGTGCCATTGGCTTAGAGGAGGCCAAATATCTTGGCTACATCATTGGTCGAGGTCTCATTAGGCCTCAGATCAATAAAATGGAGGCAATTCAAAAGTGGTCCCAACCTGTAAATAAAAAACAAGTCCGGGCATTTCTTGGAATCACGGGGTACTACAGGCGGTTTATCCCCAATTTTGCCACCATTGCAGCCCCACTGACAGATCTGACAAAAGGTAGGGGGTCAGTCATGATTAAGTGGAATCCTGAGGCGGAGACCGCATTTCAAAGGCTGAAACAAGCCCTCTGTGCTCAACCTGTGCTTGTGACTCCAGATTTCACAACAGAGTTTGTGGTACAGACTGATGCCTCTGACGTGGGACTAGGTGCGGTACTGTCCCAAATCAGAGATGGGGAGGAGCACCCTGTGGTCTTCCTAAGTAGAAAGCTCAACAAACATGAGAGAAACTATGCCATTGTGGAGAAGGAATGTTTGGCTATCAAATGGGCCTTGGAGGCCCTGAAATATTACCTGTTAGGAAGACCGTTCAAGTTGGTTACTGATCATGCCCGCTCAAATGGATGTGTGATAATAAGGAGAAAAACAGTCGAGTGACAAGGTGGTTTCTCGCGCTACAAGTGTTCAAATTCACAGTGGAACACAGAGCGGGGAAACTGCAAAGTAATGTAGATGCCCTCTCCCGGGTCCATTGTCTGGTTGGGACAGTTGCTCAGCCGCAGGGGCTTGAGCAGAGGGGGGGGGGGGGATATGTGACAGGATGAATGGCGAGGTGATAGAGGGACGCTATGTGTCACCTCGCATATGCTCATACCTGACCGTTTAGGTGGAGTCCACTCCGGGTTTTCGGGGCCACAGTTAAGCAGGTGGGTCCGGACCAGAGTTTGGGCTCCACTGATGACCACCAACAGGTGGTATAAATAAGGCAGGGCTGGAGCAAGGAGTTGCTCGTGGCCTGGGACTCAGAGAGGTGTTCTGAGAGAGCTGTGTGTATGGACTATACCTGCAAGAAAAGGTTTGCTGTTACTTTGTTTTAGTGACAGGGAGAAGCCCTTCACCTCTGAGAGAGGAATCATCTGCTGTTTAGTTAGTGCCTGGATGGCAAGGGTTTATTTTGATGTTTTGTTTATTTTGATATTTCTTGCAAACCTTTTTAATAAAACTGACATCCAGTCAGATTTTGACGAAAGCCTGCTGTGCGGTCTACCTTTGTCCCAGGGAAGGAGATCCCCCACCTGAGCTAACCCCACAATATATATATATATATATATATATATATATATATATACACGTGATTTTGCGCAGCCCTACCGCAATACAGCAGTACTTCTGCTATAGGGTGACGAGGAACTGTTATGAACATGCACAAAATTGTACCGTATTCTGTGCTAGGGGAGGTAATGCTGTCATTCTCATGTAAATGAGGAAGGCGTTTTTGTACGACTCTCTATCACTGTGTTAGAGCCGTTGCATAGTATTGCTGGCAGTGATAATCTGCTGCATCATCTTCATTTATGTCAGCAATTGTCAGTCTGTACTGGCTATAAGGCCATGGAGTGCTCCCAATAAACCGGTCTGAGACTCCTGCATGTCGGATGTTTGCTTGAGAGATGAGAGTTGCTGGAGCCTCCCTTGCTTTCTGTTTGTACCATCTTATATTATCCCCGGTGTGGGAACTAGATGTACATGTGATGGTGATTGTCTGTCCCGGGGACACAGAGATAGAATCCGGAGTCTGAGTCATCACAATCTCTCCACAGGATCCTGAGGATGGGAAGAGACATATTGATTATTGATCAATGTCTGGATATCTTCCTATCAATCCTGATGTGTGTATTTATTGTACAATGTATAAATGTATGTGCAGAGGAGGATGGAAGGAGCCTCATCTCTCACCCTGAATAGAATGACAGCCAGCAGATAACTGGGAGAAAGCATCTTGATGTTTCTGGAGGGTCAGATCCAAACTAGAAGATGTCTCCTGTACAATGAGATATATAGAGAGAGTGACAGGGGAGGTGTTCCCCCCACACACTGTGTATGCAAAGTATGTGGTTTCCATCCGACTTGGCTTTCTTTGTAAAGCAAATTTTAGGCCAGATGTTGATTTTGGTCTGCCTGTCCTCTATGATGCATATACTGTATATAATGTATTAAATGCAGAGTTGCATTAATTTGAGTCTTTGATATCTTCCTTGAATTTGGTTTAAGGTTCATGCAAACTCTAATTTAAAGTGAAATTTCCCCCCAAACCTAACTAACTCAAAACCTACTGCCAGCCCCATTCTAAGCCTAATCTATCTAACCCTGTAAAGAAAAGATATGTATACTTACGTATTCTGGATACTTACCTATTCTAAAGCTGCTCCAATTCACATGCTGAGCTGTCAGCTGATAATGGATGCCCTATAGTAAGTCTATGGGTGACATTAACTCCTATTCATTTCCCAGCAGTTGTCGGTTTCCTCTCTCTACACAAAAGCTGCCACTGGAGACCGGAACGGCTTCAGAATAGGTATACAAATCTTTTCTTTACAGGGATAGATAGATTAAGCTTAGAATGGGGCTGGTGGTAGATTTAGCGCTAGATAGGTTTATGGTGGAATTCCACCACCATGACATTTATTTTTCTAATTACTTTGTATCATAAACAATTGATATATGTTTTATTTTACCATATTACTCCTCTAACATTTTTTCAATCTTTTTAACCTTATCACTGCTGACCTCCTGCAGCCTCCTTGCAGCCACTTGCTGTCCATATGCACGCCAGCAAATGCTGCATACAGTATCTTTTCTCAGAGTGGGCTTTTTGTTGGTTACAAAAGTGGACCCCACCTGTGTGATGTGTGTCAGCACTTATAGTCCCCTGTGGGAGACCATGTGACAGAGTGACAGTGCAAGAGAGCAATTAGAAGACGGGGGTAGAGTGTTGTCCCCCTGTACAGTCTCCTTCACTTACTGTATATCGTTGCCATGTTTTCCAGTTTGTACTGCAATGTAACCTGCAAATGTGCTGCAGTGAGCTGGGGTAAAATTCAGATATGTAGCATTTCACCCCAGTGCAAAGGTACCTGAGATCTGTATGTATTATTTTAACCCCTTCCAAGTCTGGTGTCCTTTTATCTGGGATAATACGCTTGGGAGACAGGAAGGTCTTCTTGATCACATGACCACTGTGATTGGCTGTCATAGTGGTCACATGATTGTGAACCGGCCCCACTAGGTCCTGATCATTACCAGAGACCAGGAGCTGTCTTCCACAGCTCACTGTTCTGGGAGAACGCTTCAAGCATAGAAACCTCTGCCAACTATGGAAGTTTTAAGAGGGAGGAAGGATTAACAGAGGACATTCAGGACAACAGCTGGTGTCCCCTTTAGCTGGGCTCACAGCTAACTCCCTAGCACCAGAGGGGTTAAAGGAGAACTAAGTCTCTAAGATCCTTTAGGGGTGTCAGTAATCACAAGGCCCAAGAGCAGTTGGATGCCTTCCTCCGTGATACCAGACCAGATCTTTACTTCTTTGTTGCTCATTCAGTTTTGTTCCAATCTCCATTTCCCACTTTTCCAAAAACCTTTGGGGTACCGGTCCCTCTATTTCAGTAAGGATGCTATAGATCCTAGAGGTGGTATGTTTTTGTAGTCTATTTGTACTCAACAGTTGTTCTAAGGGATACATTCCTTGTTCCTTAGTGGTTGTGGGAGCTTTGGAACAAAATGTCTTATTTGACTACACTGCCACTCATCTAGTGTAGAAAATATTTCTTTCTTATTCTTCAAACCATACAAAGAACATACAACCTTTTTATCCACAATATATTTTAAATGTGCATTTCTATCTATTATCCATTTCCCTGACATATTATTATTCCCGGGCGGAAAACATTTGGTTCCCGCCAACAGGATTGACAGTGAGTTAAACTTCCACTCCTTCTACACCCTGTTCCAAATTATTATGCAAATTATATTTTTCTCATTTACCTAAATAATTGATGTAAATAAAAGTCAGCATAATTCTCATGTTATCAACTATTAAGAGTACAATTCAAATTTTATTGAACAAACCTCCTAATGATAACAGTATTTTTTTTAAACATAAAAAAACTTACAATGCACTGTTCCAAATTATTACGCACTGTAAGTTTCAAAACACTTTACAGTACTTGTGTAATTCATCCCAAATCCTAAATACATTCCGTGTCAAAGTGTTTGTATCCTCATCCCACATTCGGAATTCCTGTGGTATCCAAATATACTTATCTAATGGTGCTTTACTAAGTGAACTCTCCAATTTTACCCAACTTCTCCCCTGTGCATTATATATCCACTCTACAATTCATGATAATAATACCGAATTATAATATCTCTTAAAATCTGACATTTTTAATCCTCCTTTTTTTGTTACTGCATAACACTTCATATGTAACTCTTGGTTTCCTGTTAACCCACACATATCTGAGTATAATGTTTTTAAGAAATCTAAAAAAAAACCCAGGAAGAGGTATTGGGAGCATATTAAATTTATACAAAACTTTTGGTATTATTAGCACCTTAATTATATTTATCCAACTTATCCTTTCCCATGGAAGCTTTCCTCAATTTATCCTTTATCTAATTTATTAATAGGATATAATTTTGCCTGATATAAATTTTTTATAGATGATGTTAATTTTATTCCCTAATACTTTAGTTCTTTTTCTCTCCATTTAAAGGGGAATTCTCTTTGTAAAATTTGTTTCTCAGCCTTTGGGACATTTATATTTAAGATCTCACTTTTCAAGGGATTAATTTTAAGGTTGGATAGCTCTCCATATTCTTTCAGTTTTCTCATTAAGTTTGGTAATGTTATTCTGGGGTTTGCTATATAGAACAGCATATCATCTGCATATGCTGCCACTGTATGTTCAATGTGCGCCATCCACATTCCTTTGACATGTAAGCTTTTTCTAACAGTTGCTAATAATGGTTCCAAGGAGATATCAAATAGCAACTGGGGATAGGGGACATCCTTGTCTGGTTCCATTATACATCCTAAAGAATTTGGATAGTGAGCCGTTTACTTTCATTGTAGCTAAGGGACTGCTATAAAGCTCTTTTATCCACTGCATCATTCTAGGTCCTATTCCTAATGTTCTCAGAGCATCGATCATAAAGCCCCAATCTACTCTATCGAAGGCCTTTTCAGCATCAAGCAACAGAGTCATTCCCGGAACCTCTCCTCTTTCAATCTTTTGCAGAATGAGCAATGTTCTTAAACCATTGTCCTTTCCCTCTCTACCTGGAATAAATCCCACTTGGTCTAAGTGTATCCAGTCAGACATCAGCTCTTTCAGCCTTGTCGCTAATACCTTCACATACAATTTTGTGTCAGTATTCAACAGAGATATAGGTCTGTAACTGGTACACTGAGACCAATCTTTCCTTTCCTTGGGTATAACCATGATATATGCCTGTAGCGACTCCTTCCTCATCTTTGTCTCCTCTCCCAGTGCATTCATATCAATACACAGTTTAGGGGCTAATTGTTCTTTAAACTTCTTATAGTATCCCATTGTGAATCCATCGGGTCCTGGACTCTTCCCTATAGCTGTGCCCTTTAATGCTAAGTTAACTTCTTCAATTGATATTGGGCTATCTAAAGCTGTTAATCTGGCCTTATCCAATCTAGGCATACCGGCCTCTTTCAGATAAATCAACCTCTTCTCCCATCTCTCTTCTTCTAATTCCTTCTGATATTTACCTTCTGACCCATATAACCTACTATAAAATCTCTGGAATGTGTTGGCGATGTTGGTAGCTGAATATACCCTCTCCTTTTTCATCTTTATATTTGTCTTTAAAGTTCTTTGATTTCTTTTCCTTCAGCTTCTTCAATAAGTATTTTCCTGGTTTATTCCCCCACTGATATCTTTCCTTTGAAACCCCATTAAAACATTTTTTCTTGTTTCTTGTTCCATAAAGTCCTTTAACTCCTCTCTTTTTAATATTATCTCTTGTTGTAACTCTATATTTATCTTCTTTTTATGTAATTGTTCCAGCTGATGTAGTTCTATTAATATCCTAATTCTTTTTCCCTGCTCTTTCTTTATCTCCGCCCCTATTGCTATCAGTATGCCCCTAATATAGGCTTTATGTGCTTCCCATACCGTGGCGATAAAAACTTCCTCAGACTCATTTAACTTAAAATATTGATCTATTTCCTGTTTTACTCTTGTTTTTACTTCCAGATCTTGTAAGATGATCTCATTTAATCTCCACATATTTATTTTACTCTGTTACCTTCCAAACCGTAGTCTCATTGTGACAGGGGCATGGTTGCTGTATTATCTCCTGTTATATTGTAAAGCACTGAGCAAACTGTTGGCGCTATATAATACCTGTATAATAATATAATAATAATGATATATATAATTTTTTTTGGCAAAGATTTCTTCATATACATTGATCAATGTGAATAGAAGAATCTGTTCTGAACTGAACAAAGAAACAAGAACAATTCATGTGCGCCTAACATTAGAAGTGGGTGGATGCAGGGTGGTATATTCTAATGGCGAGCATACCCCACAGTTTTTCTAACAGAGATGTCTTCTCTTTTTTCATTCAGCACACAGTCTGCATGAAAAAAAGAACATATATGCCCAACAAGGACAAGCATTGTACTGAAACATCACTGGACTTTGAGTGGTTATACTAGGAAGATGCCTACAGCTCTTTTACAACCAGTAGTCAACTTTCATGTAAAAG